CCCCAAAACCCCAAAACCCCAAAACCCCAAAACCCCTTTAACAATTTTCAAAAATGAATTTAGGATAATTTTTATTTCTAAGCAAGGTTAGGTCTAATCTTTTTAGCCTTGATCAAGGTGGTTGGGTCTGGGCTCACTGAAAGCATGGTTGAAGGGTGAGGTTCTTTATCCATTCTGGGATTAACATACTTTGAGATAGCACCTTTGTAGCATTGCTGGTAGTACGAAGCCTTTGGTTCAAAACTATCATATATTGCGTTGATATTTCCAGAGCCCTCTAGCAGTTTCTTCTTCTGAATTTTACTAATCTGGAGATCAATAGGTACATTAGAGACATCCTTAATTTTGTTGAATGAGTTCTTTCTAATAGTTCTCTTCTTGATATCTCCACTAAGGATTTTAACTTCTTGTCTAATGAGGTCAAATTTCTAAGAATTTATTATAAAGCATACTTGTTTGTAGCCTTGAAGGTTGAGATTCATTGTGGCTTTCTTGAGTTCTGGGAATTTTAAAAATCTCTGCTCAACAGTAGGCTCCTCAAACTTTCTGAGGTTCAGCTTATCAATTCTAGGAGGGCTTTGAACCTCCTCTTTATTGATAGTGTGGAAGGAGTTTTTATACAAACTCTGACAAGGTTGTTTACAGTGCACGTGTACGTAGACTGCCTTCAGTATTCTCATCAAAAGATCTTTATAGTAAGTGTCTTTAGCATTTATAAGCCATCTTTCAATATATTCCTTGGCGTTAGAACCATTTTTAAACATTTCCAGGGCACTATTTGCTTGAGGATCTGTGAACTTCTTAATTGGAGAAGAAACTTGGCTGAAGCTCTTCCTCTCTAAATGTTAATTGCACTCTTTACCATATCTTGGTACAGATCCTTCACAACTTCTAAGCACCGATGTATAAGGAAGATCCTTAAACCTTTTAAAGGTAAGTATGCTACTCTCATGATCTGCTTCAGCATCCTTCCCAAAAGTATCAGCATACGAAGACCTATTCCTCATATTCTGCATTCTTTCATACGCCTTCTTGGCACTAAGATCATTCAGCAACGAAGACTGCGACCCGCTATCTCCAAAACCCGTACCCTTATTCACATTCGCTTTACTCCTCTTCTCATACTTCCTACACCCCTTCGTCGAAATAATAGCATCTAAGACTTTGATTCCCTTCTTCTCCAGTACCCCCAAGTTCTTAACCCAGTGCGAATCTAAATCTCACCCAAAACCCCTACCTATTTTCGCCTTAAATGCCTTATTAAGCACACTCTTATAGTCAAACCTTCCATCACTGCCACTCAGCCTACTCTCAGTAGAGCTAAACCTCGCTGGGATTACCGAAACCTGCTGCATTTGTAATATTTATTAAATAAAATTATTAAGGGGTTTTGGGGTTTTGGGGTTTTGGGGTTTTGGGGTTTTGGGGTTTTGGGGTTTTGGGG